ACGGGGTTTACTTTGAAGTGTAGTAATTGTATTTTGTTGGCAAACATGGCAGCTCATTTGCACACAACAATGTCTTTTGTGGAGTCCTATAGCTCAGTGGTTAGAGCAATCGCCTCGCAAAGGAGAGACCAGGGTTTGATTCCCAGCAGGGCGAAACCTTGGGCAAGTTTTCTTACTCCACCCCTTGATGATAATCTGAAGAGAAAAAAACAATAATAAATTGGTCACTTCACTCCATAACTGTTTGTGGGACACTACTGTGCACAATTGGCTGTCACCTTTCACCCATAAATATACAGTCGATTCACTTTACAGTATATTCTGTGAAGCTCTTTGAGACGTCTAGAAGATGTGAAAAACCGCTATCAAATGCAAGGATTATTTATATTATTACCAATCATGAAGTGAAAGACCAAATTTATTGTTGGCCAGCACGCCAGGGGAAACTCCCTTCCCTTTTGAATGATGCCATGGGATTTTCAATGTCCAGTTTAAATAGACCTACTCCTGTTCTGTGTTGAGAAAGACCAGTGATTTGTAAATGCTACATAGTATAATATGGCACGGAAACTGGCCATTCAACCCAATTAGTCCGTGCCAGTGTTTATGCTCCATACAAGCCTCATTCCTATCCCTCTCGGCTTTTCCATTCTCCCTCATAAACGCATGCAGTTCTCTCAAATACATTGATGCTATTTGTTTCAGACATCGCTGCTGTCAGTATGTTCTTACCATTGTCTGTGTGAAGTTTCTTCTTAATTTCTTCCTATTAGATCTAACCACTAATGAATTGGGGGTAATTGCATGACTTTTATCTAATCCTGGCTTGATGCAATTATATGGTGTGCACTGTACATATTAACTAGTGTAGGTGATTATACTGTAGTTAGTTGCAAGCCTAAATTTAGTAGTTGTTTAGTTATGGTCTGCGCAGTGTTTTGGGTAGAATCCTAATAGTGGTCTTGCAACTTTGATTTTTTTTGTACCTTGGACTGTTCATCTATGCAAGTAAAATACTTTTATAATAGACTAACTGTAACTAAGAGAATACTGAAAAGCTTTTTTTTGATGATCTTTTTAATGGGTCAATTGCTGTGCGCAATTGGCTGCTGCGTTTCGCCCACAAAATAGTCACTACTTTACAGTATATTCTGTGAAGCGCTTTGAGACATCTCGAAGATATAAGGCCCTATATCAAATGCAAGGTTTATTATTACTAACATCAGATGTAATATCCTTGACAAATAGATTTACTTGTTTTACACAAGTAAATTGCTGCCACTATCGGCTTATGCAGTATACTTTGACTGATATGCATTGTCAGTGAACACTCGCCTGCTTCATGTCCCTCGCTAGATTCACTCTATCGTTAGTGAGTGACCTTTCAGCCATGCTACCTTTGCTCTCTGAAACACCATCCTAGGAGAATTCCTTCAACCATTTGCATAAGACTTCAGTCCTTAAGTTTCAGGAGAAGGTGTTTTATTTTGTTAATTTATGGCATATTTAACTATAAATTCAAAATTTTATTTTTTATTTTACTCCTTTGGCATTTGAGTTATCAAGTTAGAACAGAGGCCTAAGAAATGTCCATATGGTGAGATTATTAACTGCAATTCTGTTACAGGAAGTGATTCGTAATGGAAATGATTGACATGCAACAGTACCATGAATGGTGAACTGAGAATACATTTAGTTGTCTTCTAATTTACAATATAAAAGTTATTGTGCAATTTCTTCACTTGAAATACTGATCTGTTTTGAAGCAGAGTTTTGCCTGCTTCATGTTTCCCAATTTCTGTAGTTGTTTTTAATTGAGACCATTTTTGAGTTCTGTAAATTACAAGCAGTGTCTTTATGGCTAGGTAAAATGTGATTCTGGTTCACCTTACCCTTGAGACATTCAGTTTTTGTCACTGGTCAACATTTTTCACGTTTTTTTCCAATTAATCTTTCCTCAGATTGAAATTCTGAAATTCTGCTGCGTAATCTTACTTGACTGGCGTGGAGTCCTGTAGCTCAGTGGTTAGAGCACTCGCCTCACAAGCAAGAGACCTGGGTTCAATTCCCGACAGTGTGAAACCTTGGGCAAGTTTCGTTACTCCACACGCCTGATAATAATCTCTCAAGAAAAAAATGAAATAATAATTTGGTCACTCAATCCATCACTGTTTGTGGGACACTGCTATGCACAATTGGCTGCTGGGTTACCCACAAATATAGTCCATTCACTTTACCATATATTTCTGTGAAGCACTTTGAGATGTCTAGAAGACGTGATAAGGTGCTATATCAAATGCAAGGATTATTGTTATTGGCTGCAACCGATGACTAATGTTGATGTTTAGATGTCTTGCCCTTTCATGAATAATTTTAAAATTAGGATCTGTGCAATTGCTTTGATCTTAACATTTTCTACGACACTGGTAATTGTATCTTAACATCCAAAAGACAGTAGCATATGTTGGTAGATGTTTAATGGGTAGTGGTTCCTTTTTTGTAGACACTTTGTAAATATTTGATTTTAAGATTTTTGTTTTCATATTTGCATATTAACTTCCATTTTATTTGCCTTTGTATTATGAAGAGAACTCACTAGGTAGTCATCTGATTTAGATTGTTAAATGACAAACACTACACTGTCACAGTGATTATCAAATTTAAGTTTAATTTAGTCAGTTGGTAAGAAGTGCAGTCCTTGAACAGATGCATTTAATTATTTTCTAGGGAACTTTGTAGAATTACAAAAAGAAACGATCAGGTGATCATCTGAATTGGAAATATTCATGTGATAATCAACGTGAAAAAACACTTGTTGATGAATCGGTTAATTTACTTTGCTTTTTTAAAATCTTGAGTATAAAAGTACAATGTATTTGTTTTTAAAATGCCATTCTCGGACTAAAGTCTCAGCATTCCTACTTAGTTATAGACCATGTGTTGAGACTTTCAGCTGTACTTGTATCTTTCAGTTTATTTTAATATTTGAGTAACTGTGTATGTGAAACCTGTTTAAGAATATAGAACACTTCTCAATGATGTGAATGCAGATGCATGCAATTGGGAACAGCTCAATTTGTGTCCATGAATACCCATAACTATCAGCTTCAGTTTTTGAACTTGTGCTGAAGGTTTAATTTCAACTTATCTTTAAAACGTCTTTAACTAAGTCAATATTAATCTAGAGTTGACTACAGTTACTAAACATGAGTTTTTTTAGTATTGAAGCGACCTAGATTTATTTCCCATTTCCTGTTTATTTCCATAGGACAAACTGCAGGTGACATTAAAAAACTGAAAGCAGGTACGAATTAAATATTAGTTTGCCAATCCAAAATGACAGACTTTGTTATAATTTTCATAGAGTTTAAAGTTTTATTGAAAGACCAATAGAATAAACAATTGAAGTGTTCATGCTAACAATTTGCTTATTTATTCATTTTCAACTTCTCCACAATATTTTGGTTGGTGTCCAAGAGCATGTTTCTTAGACAGCGGGCCTTGAACTGGGGCACCTTGAGAGGGCAACCTTGCCTACAAATAGTTGCTTTGCTTTACAATAAAATCCTGTGAAATACTTTGTTTTGACAACTTAAGATGCCGTATCAAATTATTTTATCATAAAACTACACTGTGGAGGCATGAGAGGGCATTGTCAGTAGGTTTATGCTGTGAATTAAAGTGAGCGCTTTACCTTTGAGTCATTTCATGGTACGAGGAAAATTGCATGCATATTTGAAGTCATAAAGCCTTTCTTTGTGTATTAAAATCGATCTGCGCCAAATCCATTTCCATTTGTTTAAAGAAAAAATGTAGTTCTTACTACTTCCTCCAGTTTTTTTTCACTCCCTTTTTTTTGGTCAGCCAGGTGCCTGACAGATACAGGAAAACCCATTGCTCTGGTTTCAACATTTGGGTGCGACAGTATGCAAAATACTTCAAAGTATTTGATCCAGAGTAGAAATTTCTGCCCGTTTGTATATTAAAGGCTGAAACTTCCTTTTCTTCTGAAGGTCAGTCACAGAATTTATGGTATCAGATAGCAGCTTGGCATCAGATTGGTTCAGTAAGTAGCATTGTCACCTCTCGGATCAAACCCCACTTTTGGACTTGTACTCCAGTGCAATGCCCTCTGACTTGTGCCATTCCTCCTTCCCCGCTTTTAAAGCTACCCTAAGACTTGCCTCTGACTGCTTTTCATCCCCACTGTTCAGATGTCCAGCCAGCTGTCAAGCATTTTCAGACGTCCTCCCAACATGAAATGCACTATATAAGTGTTTGTATTGTTGGGTTTGGCAGCATTTTCTGCAAAGCGTTTTGAAAATCTTTTGACATTTAAGGTGCCTATAAAGTGAGAACATATAAAAACTTCTTTCTAAATTGGAATTCAAAACCAAGTTTTCCTGTTAAGGAAGTTTTCAGTCTCTTTTATTGTAAGGTCCATAGGATATTTTGTACAGTGATTGAAGTCCCCATCAGTTGACATTATTGTAAAATGTTTTATATAGAAACAATTAAACTAATGCCATGTTGGGCCAAAGCTGTTTCTTGCTGAAATTTCAGATTCGTAAGTTATGGGCTCCATTTATATCTACTGCAAAACATATTTGGTTTAACTCCAACAAATCTAGCAGATATTTTGGTGCAATCAAACCAAGTACCCTGGTGTTTTTTTTAAAAATGTTCAACCTTTTGTTGAGCCTAGATAGTGTCAGGAATTCAGTTAGGAAGTGGGAGGCCAAAACCTGTTGTTTTCGGATTAGTTATCCAACTGTTCCTGGTATGCATGCCCTAATATCACAACAAGTAATGCATTTATAAACGACTCTGGAGGATGTGCATTAAGTCAACCAGGAACTGAAAATGAGTGGTACTCATGAGTTGGCTGAAAAAAGCTTTCCAGAGGACTATGATTGTTCAACTGAGTGGTTTGGTTGTGTGGAAGTTAGCTTGGGGCATGCGTAGGAATACAATAAAAGGTAACTCATTAAACTCTGTTTGCTCAGGCTGAATTAACAAAAGACCAGTATGTGCAATCTTTGAGATTTTGACATTTATATTTAAGTTTTTTGGGAGAATGGGAGATTCATCTGTATTGTAAACAACCAGTCTTAAGTTTTGTTTTATCTGTAATTTCAGCACAAGTTGACTTAATTAGCCTTTTAAGACAAATGCTGTTTAAAGCTGGTTAGAATGGATACAGGTGACGTGGACACACAGGAAGAATACAAATCGCCCTTTGACTTTAGTTTGGGTGTGAATCAAGATTATTTGTACTTGTCTCCCAGCACTAATGTATTTTCACCAGGATCTCCTAGTGTGAAGAAAGGTAATTATTTTGACTCCGGTTGCAATTTTTTTTTTGTTGTATAGAAAAGTCGGCTGCTATTCAAACTTGTTCAAGTTGTAAGACTAGTTTCAAATGGGGCTCATGTTGTACTTTGATCAAATTACTTCACGTGATGCACAAGTATGAGCAGCTTAGTTATTAAACTATAATTATTTAGTACTTTGGTCTTGCCTTTAAAATTAATTTTAGGTCACCAAACCTTAACATTTGGAGTGATGTATTCTAAATGTAACATTTATTTATACACTTTAAAGTTTAAACTGTTTGATTTAGGCATTGTAGACAAACTAAGCTAACGTACTACTTATTTTTGCTGCAACTATTGTTAAATTCAAAATACAGTAAATGTAATTTTGTAGTGTGCTTTGTGGTGTGTTAAATGATTTCTTTTGTGATTTCTCATTGAAGAAATTAGTATTGTATATAAGTATTATATACTTCCTTGTACTCATTGATAGTAAACTGATCTGGATATGCCAATTTTGACAAATACTGAAGGACATGCAAGTTAATTTTTTGGACTTTTTTGAAGTTTTTTATAAAGAGGGAGTTACACCAAGGTGTTCCTGCTTTTTCTCCTTTGCCTTCATCATGTGGATCTTTCTTAGCCAGAATTGCCTGCGCAAGCCTAAATCAGCTTCTTTCAGATACCCGGATGAGCTGCACAGTCTTAACTTCAGAGGAGTTGAATTTTGTTTAGCTTGTTTCCTGCAGCTTAAGATTGGCTAAATCATAAAATCGTACAGCACAGAGGGAGGCCATTTGGCCCATCGTGTCTGTGCCGGCTCTTTGAAAAGAGCTATCGAAATCAGTCCCAGTCCCCCGCTCTCTCCATAGCCCTGCAAGTTTGTCCTCCCCAAATAATTATTATTCATTTAATAATGCCTTGAAAATACTTGGAGGAAGTCTTGTACAAGTTCGGGGAGCGGAGTCTTTATACCACCCAAAATGTCGTTTACTATCGTACCAGTATTTTCAAGGCGTTATTCAAATTAAGACCGTCTCTTCAGATTTAAACGTTTTGATACATGTCTGCAGTTTTAATTCCCTCAGACTTGGTATCTGCACACAAAGCAAGCTTACAAGAGTTGCTCTTGATGTAAAGCGCATCTGACACATTTGGATTAGGTGGTAAGGGAAAGGGCAATGCCTTGGGAATGACAACAGCAAAATTATATTTGTAAAGCACCTTTCATGTTGGGAGGACGTTCCAAGGCGCTGGACAGACTGAGTTACGTACCCGAACGGGGGGGTCGGAGAGGGTGGAAGGCATGGGGGAAGCAGGGAGATTGAAAGCACAGTCGAAGAGGAGAGTCTTCAGATGGGTCTTGAAGGTGGCAAGGGCAGGGGCGAGGCAGAGGGACTGCGGGATGGAGTTCCAGAGGGTGGGAGCAGATAGCGGAAGGCCCGCCCGCCAGTAGAGGGGCGAGCGAGGCGGGGGACGTGAAGCAGGCCGGAGCTGAGCAGAGGGAGCAAGCAGGATAGTAGGGGGTTAGGAGGTCGCAGAGGTAGGTGGGAGCAAGACCGTGGAGCGCTTTGAAGGTGAGGACCAGGATCTTGAACTGTATCCTCTGTGTGATGGGAAGCCAGTGGAGTTGGGCAAGGATGGAGGTGATAGGGTCGTGGAGCCTAGTGCGGGAGAGGACACGGACTGCAGAGTTCTGGATGATTCTCAGCCTGTGGAGGGAGGAATTGGGGAGGCCGACAAGCAGTGAGTTTGCATAGAGTAGGCAACAGGTCTCCCGATTGCTTTCCCTCTTGCCTGCAGGGAATCGTCCCTCAATAACCCTGCCAAAATCAGGCACTCTGTATTTAGGGAGTAATGGGGCAAATCCGTGTCCTACAACTTCATGGCACAATGCACAGGTTCAGAAACATGCTACGCCACCATGACGTCAGAGGAAAGCAGAGTTCTGGATAATCAGCAGCCTGTGGAGGGAGGAGTTGGGGAGGCTGACAACCAATGCATCTGCATAGTCGAGCCTTGATGTAATGAAAGCGTGTGAGGGTTTTGCTGGCCTGTGGTGTGAGACAGGGACAGAGCCGGGTGATGTTGCGGAGGTGGGGGAAGGCAGAGCGGGTCATGGCACGGAAATGGGTTAGAAAGGATAGTTGAGGGTCAAACAAGACCCCCAGGTACCGGACTGGCTCAGTGAGGTGGAGTGTGTAACCATGGATGGTGATGCTGTCAGCGCCTGGGGTTAGGAGGCTCTGACGGGAGCTAAATCAGGAGAGCCTCTGTCTTGCTGACAGTGCTTGTTGGGAACGTTGGTAAACTATGAATTTTTGTGGAGATTTATACCATTAGAGTTGCATATGGAGTAAATGTGGAATCTTCACAGCATGTCCATGGTATACACAATTAAATTAAATTTATTTGTGTATCTTGAAAGTTTATTTAGTGTTTCTCATTTCTTCTCATCCCTCCCCTTTGTGTATTCATCTTGAACATGGCTGTTCTGATGTGTCTCTCCATTATGAAAGGCCTACTTGGAGGTGAGCCAATACCTGAGGTGGGAGAGGATGCAGCTGCTACTGCTACCTTACAAAGTGGAATAACGGATGAAGAACGAGAAGAGCTGACAAATGAGCTTGCCAAGGTAATGATCAGCAATAAAAATTGACATCAGTCATTGTGGGATTTTGGTATACAAGCTGAGGATAAGTGACGTGACTCAAGTATATAGCAATCCATGTTTCTCAACTTTGCACGTGCTGATCTTTCTTTGTAGTTCATGTAAGATGGTGCCATTGACCCTTGAAATACTGTCATGTTGGGAACCTTTACTATTATGTGCTTAGGTGAAATGAACTGGTAAGGCAAAGAATTGGAGCACTAATGTATTTTGTAAAAGTAGTGGTATAACCCAGGATTAGATTTCTTTCTGTTGCTCTCTACCCACACTGCATTCTAGTTTGTTTGGGGGAGTTGCTATGTGGCTGCTTATCTCCTCCCCACTGAGAGAATGACTATAGAGCAGAATCCCCAGGTTGCTTGTTGGAAGCCTGGGAGCAAGTTAACAATTGGTGATATGTGGAATGGGAACTAGGAAAAAAATAGGCATTTATTCCTTGTATTCACACTTAAAGTCCTGTAGTTCAGTGGTTAGAGCACTCGCCTTGCAAGCGAGATACCTGGGTTCAATTCCAGGCAGAGCGAAACCTTGGGCAAGTTTCCTTACTCCACACGGCTAATGATAATCCCTTCAAAACAAAACAATAATAAATTGGTAATTTTCAATCCACGACTGTTTGTGGGACCCTGTTGTGCGCAATTGGCTGCCGCGTTTCGCCCACAAATATATGGTCAATTCACTTTACAGTCTGTTCTGTGAAGCACTTTGAGACGTCAAAGACATTAAAAGCGTTATATCAAATGCAAGGATTATTATTGTTAAAGAAATTTGCTTACTCCACACGTCTCTGTTTACCTAGCAGTAAGTAGGAACCCAGTTGTTAGTCGATTGGTGGATCACTTTCCAGGGGCAATAAACCCTCCAAAACAAAATAATAATTTGGTCACTCATTCCACAACTATTTGTGGAACACTGCTGTGCACAATTGGCTGCCACGTTTCGCCCACAAGATACACAGTCCATTCACTTTATAATATATTAGCCGCCACGGTCAGCCAGCATGGCCACCAGGTGGAACTGCAGTGTGTATGTGCATACGCAGGTGTTCTGTGATGCATGATGCCACAGCACTACTTTGACTTGGCAGCCACCAGGTGTAACTGCAGTGAAAAATGCAAAACTGAAAATAACTCAGATGATAGGAGATGCCCGAAAACAAATATGCCTATGACACTCCCAGATTCAAGACCTTTCTGATGAAGTATAAATCATGTCTGCATAATCGGGCATTGAGGTCCTTCTTGAAGTGCAGACAGACATTGTCGTATTGTCGTTTTATTAATATAGAAGATGATAGATTCTGAAGCACTTTAAGACATCTCAACGTCACAGAAAGATGCTGCATAAAATGCAAGGATTATTCCTTATTAAATAAGGATATCGATAATAGGTAGTATACTTTGAACCTGTAATTGACACAGCAAATACCTTGCAAAACCACATATTGTACCATGGGTTGTAAAATTTTATGGTATCAAGTAAGAATTACCAGAAAATAAATTTCAGTAAAAGATAAATGTAACTGTTCATAATCCTTTATAGTGAAATAATTTGCTCTTTGAATTGCTACATAAGTCTGCAATACAAGCTTTGTGCCTGATAGCAATTGTACAGTGCTTGTTCTTTTGACAAAGTGTATGGCATTGTTAGCTTGAGAATGGGAAAATGACTGCTCCTACTCCGTCAAATCAGTCTTCAGTGTTAACCTCCATATTAGTGTAGATTTGTACAAAGGAGAAAGTATTGATAATGGTAGAAAATTTGAACTCTTGCTAACTGAAACCTAATTTTTTGACCTCTTAGGTGGAGGAGGAGATACAGACCCTTTCTCAAGTGCTTGCTGCAAAGGAGAAACATGTTGCTGAGCTAAAGAAGAAGCTGGGAATGACTCCATTAAATGAATTTAGACAGAATTTGTCACGAAGTTGGTTAGATGTACAATCTTCCACAGCGTAAGTATGAGTAACTATAAGTATTACACAGATCGTAAGAAAGCAGACTTGTAGTTAGAAAGGGATGGGTAAATTTTTTTGGCTGTTAAAGAGCACATCCTATAAATATACAGCAGATTCTTACATTAGCAAACCGGCAAATGCTTAATATGCGACATCCCAACATTTTTCAGTGTGTTTAGGGTTAACATTTGTGTGTACCTCAATACAGTATGGTCGGATTATGAAAGGCTGTTTTAACTTTCATTTGTTTTCTCGTTTCTCCCCATCAACTCTTTCATAATTGGGCTCGCACTATTTTGATATTTCAGATGTTGGTGTTTGATGGTCTTTGAGAGCAGTTCCCTGTTTATTCTAAGGTTATGTGTTGCAGAAAAAATAAGGGTTTCTTGTGGTAAAGTATGGCCCAGTTATTCAGACTAGATTCATGCTAAAGCGAGTTTGCTGAATAGAGGTGTCCTGCGGATCTACTGTTGCTGGAAGCATGGTATGTTTCCAGCGTAGATCACCAAATTCCTACGCACTACAACCTCCAAAGACCGCATTACAAAGAGCAGTTACAGCTGACCAGATGTATGTATGCTTTTCCCCCCACAAACCTGTATGCAGTTTCAAATTGTTTTGGGATCTTAAAAGCTGTGTAATAATTGGCTTGCCCTGTAGCACAGCATATGCATTTACAGGAGAATGAAAGGAAGTGCACACGATACGTCATCCTATCTTGCTGGGAAACTTGTCTAAATCAAGCTTGCTTTTCTAAAATTGCTAGGCTGGGTGGTAAGAATTTCTTAAAAATAAAGATTTCAAGACCATGCGAACATCCTGTGTTTGTGCGTGGGGAAAACTTTTAGGACTCTGAAAATAGTATTTATTTACAATAAATTGTATAATTTAACTTGCACAATTTAATTCAAAAAATTGTTGTTCTGACATTGCATATAATTTTAAACCATCTCAAAACACTTCTTTGTGGCTTTGGCAGTTTCTCACGTGCATGCAAATATGTTCGTAATTTTAATTGTGTATTAGCCTCTTTGAACATATGAGTGGATCTGACTCTTACCTAATGAAGGCTGCACTCTAGTCTGATCCAGACAAGTTTATAAAATTTAATTTGAAATTTACAGGTTCAAGAAGACCTCAGAAACTCTGACTCAGGCTGGACAGAAAGCATCATCTGCTTTTTCTAATTTTGGTTTTGCCATTTCCAGGAAACTGGAAGATGTCAGGTATGTCTTTACAAAAATATATTTTTCGCTGCAGAAGACTAGAACATTTGCATTTACAACTTTTAAAGTCAGGAGTTGTAACCTATAAGACTATTTTGTCTCAATGTTTAAGGTTGTGCTGAATGGTGAAAAGATTTGGTTTTAAATTTTAAAAAAAAAGAGGGGCAGAAACAACATTGATCCTGAATCAATTTTCACAATTGACGAATCTTAAATTTTAAAACAATATGGTATTGTATTTGAATGTTGAATAGGACTGAAATTTTAGGCTATCAAAACTGAATCATCATTCTTTCAGCTTCTGACATTGTACAGAAATGAGACTCAACAAAAAACTTACTTTTGAAAGCATTTGATTTTTATTCTGTATTTACAGTTCATACTATCTGATCCATAATGTTGGATCAATGGATTATAGGACTATTACTGTAGTTTGAACACTGATTAGTGTAAAATTAAAATTGCAATTGCTAATACTTATTCTAAATTCTCAAAGAAAATGTGTTCTTTAATAATTTGTAAAATCTGGATCTTTTGTTTGTCCGCTTGACTTTGCAGCCAGTATCAACAGATAGCACAAACCTTCTATTTGTGCAAATTTTGGTTCTGACTATGAGAATCCAGCAGCAAATAGTACAGATCAAGTTAATTGTGGAAATTTTGATTTTCAATGTGAATACCTGTTTTCTTCTTCTCTTCCTTAACTCCCCACCCCCACCCCAGGAATGTACACATTGCTTACATTGTACTGCATATGTGTATAACTAGACACTATTGAAATGCATTGTTTGAGATGCTTTCCTTTGATGCATTAACCCGAGGTCCCATCTGCCTGTTCAGGTGGATGTTGGCACTATTCAAACAAAAAAAAGGAAGGGAATTTTTCAAGAGTCCTGACCACAATCCTAGATAAAATTGGTCATTCAATTTATGGCTCTTTGTGGGACTTGCTGCTTGCAAATTGACTGCCATGTTTGCCTGCAAAAGTCATTACACCTCACAGTATTCTCTGTAAAACTGAGATTTTCTATAATGTGAAAGACATTATGTAATATGCAAAGGATTAAAGATTTTGTTCCACCTTTTTCTCCCTCTTCCCCCATCATCATGTTTCTGATTTTAACTGTAATACTTTCTTTGTATTTACCTGCCATAGAAGCAAAAAATCAATGTTTTGTGCCATCTTAGATAGTTACCTGTGTCTCAATTGCAAGATGTTTAAAAATTGCATAATTCTTCATTATCTTGTCCATTTTCTGTCACTTGGTCCCACATATTTCTGTTGCTGTAATAGAGTTCACTCCCTGTTTATCCTTATTCTTTATCTAAGCCTTTTTTATTGTTTCCCTTCCATGTGCTATTTCACAAGTTCCATTTCTTTTGTTTTGTACCATTTTGTTTTGATCCTACCCTGGTGAGTTTAATTTTTTTGGTTTAATGGTTTCTTCCCTAGTTATTGCTTTATTCTTCATTGGGATTTTGTGAATCAGTCTGAGCCTCTGCCTTATTAGCTTGAATAGTTGCTTTGCTTGATAGGCTGGAAGCATGGAAACTTTTTGTTTTGGCATACATTATGTTCAGCTGCTTATAACATTATACTTGTGCTCCGATGTCAATGTGCATAACAGGCCATAGACTTAATGTGAGCAGAATGTGGGCCTACGATAAGTGCTCCATTTATGCGTCAATTCTGTTAAGAGTCTTGTAGCTTAGGGTAATTATTTCACTCAAGTTTGAGGTAAAATTAAATTTCATCTGTAAAGAAATCAGCCTCTGGGCAGATTACAGTAGCAATTGTGTTTGCAGTGATGGTTACATAACGTGTGAAAGATGTGATTCAAATCACTCTTAATGAAAATTTTAAACTCCAACATGAAATGCTTGATCACATGAGTATAATCCATGATTGGAGTGTGATCCTGAATAATTGTATATAAATTTTCTTCCTGTTTCCTGGCTTCATGTATTGAATAAGATGACTAAACTCAGAAGTTATTTGTGTTTGGTAGTGTATGATAGATTATTTCAATGTAGACATTAAGACAAGTATAACAATCAAAGCCTTTGGTCAGCATTTTTTGTAATGTTTGTTGTTTAGAAATCTCTGAATAGAAAAGTACCCCTTACCTTTCTTTTAATATAATGTTATCTTTCTATTTGTTTTCCACCACCTACCTATCATTTGTTTTGAAGTGATTGTTGGCTGATACAAAATATAGATTTAATTGATGTTTGTAACCTCATAGAAGTCTGTCATTTCAGTGGTCGGTTTTATAATAATAATCCTTGCATTTGATATAGCGCTTTTCACGTCGGGAGGACGTCCCAAAGCGCTTCACAGAACACACTGTAAAGTGAATTGACTGTATATTTGTGGGCGAACGCGGCAGCCAATTGCGCACAGCAATGTCCCACAAACAGTCGTAGATTGAAAATGACCAATTTATTATTGTTTTTTGTTTTGGAGGGATTATTATTAGGCGTGTGGAGTAAGGAAACTTGCCCAAGGTTTCGCCCTCTGCCTGGAATTGAACTCAGGTCTCTCACTTGCAAAGCGAGTGCTCTAACCACCGAGCTACAGGACTTTTTAGTTATGTGGATTAATGGGGTTGGTCTATGTGTGCTTCATTGCAGTTTGTTTGCTAGATGGTAAGATGGCACTTTAGAATAAGCTGATCCAGAGCTTCCCAGCCTTAGGAATCGTATTATGAAGCTGCTGCATAACTTGTAGGGTCAGTAGGCTTCAGGGTTGTTCCAAGTGCTGACTGTAACAACTGGGATACTGGATGCCACAGGAATTGGGGAGGAAAATAGCTTACAAGACAAAGCTTTGGCAAAGTGACTTGTCCTATACAAGTGGAGTCCTGTAGCTCAGTGGTTAGTGCACCCGTCCCGCAAGTGAGAGACCTGGGTTCAATTCCCGGGCAGGGCGAAACATTGAGCAAGTTTCCTTACTCCACATGCCTCTGTTTACCTAGAAGTAAGTAGGAACCTGCTTGTTGGTCGATTGGTGGTTCACTTTTCTGTAGGTAATAATTCCTTCAAAAAAAATAATAAATTGATTGCTTCAATCCACAACTGTCTGTGGCACACTGCAGTGTGCAATTGGCTGCCATGTTTCGCCCACAAAATATACAGTCAATTCACTTTACAATATATTCTGTGAAGCGCTTTGAGATGTCTCGAAGACGTGATAAGGCGCTATATCAAATAAAAGGATTATTATTGTACAGTGGTAACTGACTTAATTTGATTATTCTTAGAGTTAAAATTTTATAGGGATGATCAAGTTGGCCTCAATTGCTAATGTTTTGCAGTATTGACTCCCAATTAATTCAAATAACTGCAAAAGACAAGGTTAAAAATCGAGCCTGTTGTGGGGAGTGGCAGGGGAGGCATAAACGCCCAACCAGCCTTATAAGGGGTGCAGCTCTTCCACATACATGCAGAAAGACAAAATACGTTGGTGTGGAGGAAACCGAAATGACTGACATCTGGGCCATTAGGTCACCGTGTGCACATGAGCAGGTATTGGCAGCAACCTGCTGACCTGGAAGTCTGTTATTTCAGCATTGTCTGCGCTAGTGTTTTGTCCTTCTGTATGCAACAGAAGCAACATTAGTGTGTTTACGCATTTTGAATATTTTCTGGTAAATTAATGTTCTGGTCCAAACCCCAACTGTGAATTTGTTTTCTAATAAAAAGTTTTTCTTGAAATTTGGTTCTTCAGGCATGCATGTCATGATTTAAGACATTAACTCAGTATATACTGTAATTATGCATCTAAAGTGAGTATTTATGTTCAGTAATGTGAATATAGAGCCTGCAGGGAAAATGTTCAAATTGTAAAGCGGCTAAGGGAAATGGCAGTTTGCCTTACTTTCTTAGACTTTTTTTTCCTCCCCAGCTGATGCATGTAAATGTCAGAATTGGCATCTAAATCCACCAGATTCTGCTTCTTTACATGGGTCACAAGAAAATAAGTGTGATTCTACCAAGAGAATACAATTGAGCATATGTTCCTGGGCCAATAGAAAATTGTGAAAATATTTGCCAAACATTACAGGGCATTTGACAAATTTTGTAGGAAAATTGCAGGGAGTTGATTGATTGACGTACATTTTACTGCCAATCCATATTTGTTTGTTATTGATCAGAACTAAATATGAGGAAATAACACAAATTAGATTATGGCCAAAAAACAATTATTCTTTAGCAAAAACTGGGTGGCCCATTTGGGAGGTCTGAAGGGCCTGGAGATCTGCCAAAAAACAGACACTTGGGACCAGTGTCCTGATTGCAGGGCTACACAAGCTCACCACCTCCTGCCACTCAGGGCCCAGCACCACACACAGACCCAGAGACCCACAGCGAGACACACACGCGCAGACACAGAGAGAGACGCACACCTTCAGAGACGCAAGTGCACACACGTGCACAAACGTACACACAGAGCAGAGACACACTCGCGTAGAGACTTACAAACGCATCTAGAGGAGAGACACACTCGTATGGAGACACTCACAAACAAGCGCATGCATGTCCGGAGCTGCTCCGCCCACAGTAGCATTGGGTAAACAGCTGGCAGCAGTGCAAGAGACCCGGGTGCCAGAAACATAATTTTTTTAGTGTGTTTTTTTAGCGGAGGGCGTTCTTTTATAGTGGATTCCGTGAGGAAATTGCGGCTGCACTTTTCTATTTTCCCAGGTCATTACTAAATTGCTTTGGAAATATAAAAGTGGAAAATATAAAATTGAATGTTTAGTTTACAGATGGCAGAAGTCCCATTCTTGTTTTCTTAACCCAAAGGGAATCACCCTAACATTTAGACAAGTTGAATCCGTTTTTTTGTGCAATAAATAGTTAGGCAGAGAATTGCATACCAGGATTTTAAACTTGGGTCAAAATATTTTTTTTACAGTTTTTTCCTCTGTATTATGTTTCATTAAACTAATTTGTTTTGTTAACAAAAACAGTTCTGATTTTTTAAAAAAAAATTGCATATGTCAATTGTCTTATTATTAAATAAAACTGCTAGTAATGTATCTGCTAGTAATATGTAGTAACTCTTGTGATAAAATAGTTGACTATTTCTGAATATCTGAGCGGTTTGGGCATATACATCACTTTTCTGCAAACGCTGAAGCTTTAGATTATTTGCTTTAAAATAAAATGTTTGCTTTTCTTTATGCTCACAATGGCTTGCTGCAGATTACATGCTTTTTCACATTCTTTTAGGTAAGATCAGCTTTGAAACTTTGAAGTAACATTCAATTAATCTAACTGTAAATAGAAATGTCACTTTAAAAACTCTTTTTAAAAAGGAAGTTTGACATGTTTAGCCATTTAATTGCATTGCCAAGTACATGCTACTTCTTCCTGCTTGTCTGTCTCTAATAAATAAAGATTGTATTTTTTAAACTAACTTCTGCTATTTCCTTAATGCTGGCGGATTAGCATTCATTCGATACGTCATTCAATTAGTATGCCTGTTATGAGGTAATGTATTACAATACATTAAACTGGTTATTATTGCTTTCTTCATTGCGAATGTTCTTGTTTGTTGCTGCCAAACTCCCTATAGTATCGTTTTGTGAATTGAATAATGAGTAAATTAGAATGACCACTCAGTCATCTGGTATTCATGAATTTAAAATTTGTTTAAGGTAGCTACAACAATTTCAGGGAAATTACCAAATGCTTTCTTTACAAATGTATAACCTCTTGCTTATTCAGATGGAATTTAAGGATCCATGGCACCCTTGGAAAAGAGAAGGGATTTTCTCCCCTCTGTCTCTTCAGAGGCAATTAACCTTATGGCTGGTTGTGGGATCTTGCTGGTGCAAATAGTTCCCATATTTACCTTGACTAATTTTCAATATGATGAGGTGCTTCATTGGAATAGTGTAGTGGGATGCATGCTCATGCCTGCATTGCTCCATGAAATCTGTTGCTGATATCAACTGAATTGTTAAATCGAAGATCTTTTTTTCTACCTCCTGCTAGCAGTCTTGACCTGTATTTTAAATTCCTTGGTTCCCCCCCACCCCTGAACATTGGGACACTTGACTGTGACCATCACTCTGCTTCAACTACTATTGGAATTTTGGTACTGAGAATTGTAAAGGTGCTGAGAAATTATTCAGGCAACCATGTTAAGATAGAATACAGTATGGATCCCAAGAAAGCAACTGCCCTAAATTGCAAGAAAATCTGTTAAATAACATAACCAATAATCAAATGGATCAATTTTCTGTTTGAATGGAAGTAATTTACTTAAGTGCATTTTCAGTGGCATGTTTATTCATAGTTTTCTGTTTCATAACTATCTAAATTGTACAGTGCAATGAGTGTTGTATTTGGTTTGTTTTTGTTTTAAGCAATGCATGACAAAATGCTGATGTATTCTTGTGTTGAATATGATCCTGTCTCGTTTGCCTCACCTATAGTGGATTTGATTACCAGCACTGTTGGTAACAGATTCAGCAACAAAACCATTTTTATCTTAACCCTTTTAGTGCTTCATGAAATTGCACGTTAGTGACTTATTTATTTTTTGTTAACTGGGTGGAGTGGAAAAATGTGCCCCCAGTTTTATGTATTCTGTAGACATTTAACTTGTTTTTTTTCTGTTTAGAAATTCTCCTGCTTTCAAATCATTTGAAGAGAGAGTTGAAAACCTAAAGGTAAGAGTCTGTTTATTTTAAATTACACTGTATATATCTGTCTATACTTGGTGGTGGGTGAGGAAAACTTCTACTGTAAACTGGAAACAAAATCTCTTTTAGAAATGCTAAGTTTTAATCTCTAATTTGTCTGCTCATTTCACAAGTCTAACTTTTCTCTATTACAGCTTCATATTCATGTTATGGGAAGGGAATTATCAATTCACTTAACACAGTTATTACTTCACCTCGTTATTTTGAAATGTGAAATATATCTCCTCTCCCCCCCACCCCAGTCATCTAGTGTTTCTATTTTCTTGTCGCACGGACCCTCCGCCCCACAATCGGTGGCCGTGTTTTCAGCCAATATGCCCCGAAACTGAGGAACTGTCTTCCTTATCGCTTCACCTTGCCCCCACTCTCACCATTTTCAGGTTGCGCTTGAAGACCTTCCTCTTCGACTGTGCCTACGGTCACCTTCCCACTGGCTCGGCATTGGGCTCCACCACTGTTAAGCGCTCCGAGACACTGCCCGGCATGAAGGGTGCTATATAAATGCAAGTTGTTGTTGACGACAATAGGCCTGGTTTTCTTAACACATCTCCTAGGTAACCTCTAAAGCGTAGAATTGTTCAGTTTGTGTTGCCTTTCCCTTCACTGTTTCCAGGGGTAAGCATTTTCAACATGAAAAAGTGCCATGAGGTTTGTTGAACTTCAGCTGAGTTTTTTTTAGGTTATTGAACAAAATGCCCATTGACAGTATAATGATTTAATATAAGTCTTGTGGAATCTAATGCAATTTGCGTCCTAATTTTGATGGGTTTGTTATAACATTACAGTAATGGGATTTACATGATTCTATTTAACTCTTTCACATTGTACTGCAGCAATACATTTTATTGCACTCATCACAATTCTGCTCACTTTCTCTTCCCCCTTCCATTTTCTTCCCTTTTCAATTTTCTTTGCAGTTTAAGACCTCTACTAACAAGGACGGAGGAGGTGATTTTGGTGAAGTTCTAAACTCTGCAGCATGTGCAAGTGCCACAGAGACCATCACAGAAGAGAAGGCTTCAGATCAAGAGGCTGATTAAAATGCTGTTTCTTATATTTGGTTATTGTTGGGTATGTTACAACTAAAATCAAGCACATTGTAATCGTTGCAAATAATGGCTCTTCACCCTCCCCGTCAGTTGTGCAAATAGTATGTCACATTCCTGTAATACTGTATATCTTGCATTTATTGGCTCGCAAGTTGTGGTTGGGTTATTTGGTTCACCGAGTTCCCATTTAACTCCTTGCTCCCCTCTGCAATTTTTTTATTTTACATGGAATATTTTTGGTGAGAACAGCCTTCCAAAAAGAGCACAAGGTTTTTAATAACTATTTGACAGCCACAGCCTATTTATTATGCCAAAGAAAACTCCAAACTTGATTAACACCCTTAATATGCGGTTGGGATGAATTAATTTTCACATCCTTCTTTAATGTGATTGATTCTGTCATTATTGGCTTTACAGTGTCGATTCTAATATTGCACAGTGTGCATCTGGTAACCAATGGGCCAAGTCATGGGTCAGCTTAAAAGTCAGTGACTACTGTTTTATTTAAGTTTATTTTAAGAATTACTCTGTGTTGAAAGCACTCAAGTAGTAAGTTTGTGGAAATCTGCTGTTAAGACCTTTTTCACTTTAAATATGACTGGTAGAGTATAGTATTGTAGTAAAACACCATCTGATGTTGTCTTTAGATTTTTTTGATTGGTTCTGTTGCTGTAAAAAATCCCTTCATGTACTTTTAAGAGATGGGGTTGAGTGTTTCCTTGTATAAGGGCTCTTAAGATTTTGTTTGGGATTAGTCTTCAGTTTCCATCAATGGGAAGTGGCTAAATACACACTTTTTGCTTCTCTTTGTTACATGTTCATAGTTTGTAGCAGTTGGGGTTCAGAGTTTTGGGTCTGACTAAAGACCAAGTGAACAGATGGAATTGACTAAAAATGTCATTAATGGATAGTTGGAATATATTTCTGAGGTTCATAAGTTCAATGTTAACCTGGTAAAAATGTGCTTTGTTTACTTGAGTAAACCAGATGAAACACTGTACAATCACAGAACTTGTGTTACTTGGTTTGTTCTGTTGAAGTAACTTTTAATAAACATTGCTGATAATAAAATTGATATTTGAAAATGATTCTCAAGGTTTTGTTCAGATAATTGCAGAAACAAATCTTTTACTGAAACAAGTTATACCCTCTATGCTTAGGGATCAGGGAGGAAGAGAAGATGAACTTAAATTTAATGGTTGATTATAAATTGACAGATCTATTTATAATTAGCTCTTTATTCCACATGACCCAAAACTTTTCTACACTAGAAACAGGACAAGGCCATTGAACCAGTTCTATTTTCATCTAACCACTATTTCTCTATCTTTTTCCCTATACAGTATCTCACTTCCCAAATAGCTCTTGTCACTTAACACCCTGACTTCCAAAAATCTTAATTATATTAATAAACATCCCAATTGCTTCTGCTGGTGGCAGTGGTGTCAAATCTATCATGAAAAGATGTGTAAACTTATTTGTATTTTCTAGTGAAATGTAATAAATACAATACAGTACTAAAATCTCTCTGCTGTCCTGGAGTCATCTGAACGCCTACCCTGTAGGAGTCCTGTAGCTCAGTGGTTAGAGCACTCGCTTTGTAAGCGAGAGACCTGAGTTCAATTCCAGGCAGAGGGCGAAACCTTGGGCAAGTTTCCTTACTCCACACAGAGCCTAATAATAATCCCTCCAAAACAAAAACAATAATAAATTGGTCATTTTCAATCTACGACTGTTTGTGGGACATTGCTGTGCGCAATTGGCTGCCGCGTTTGCCCACAAATATACTGTGTGTTCTGTGAAGCACTTTGGGACGTCCTCCCGAAGTGAAAAGTGCTATATCAAATGCAAGGATTATTATTATTACCCCTCCCGCACTGATATATCCTCACTTTCCTCCACAACTCCCTCTCCTCCACTTTTGATGCTCTTGCCCGTCTCACCTCCCGAACTGCCTCCTCATGAACCTCACTCCCTCAAGGGTCAGGTGTGGGCCGCCGAACGCACCTGGCTCAAGTCTGACCTAACAGTCCACCAGTAGATCTGGCTGGAGCGCATCAAAACGTACCACTCCACCCTCGCCACTGCCAAATTATCCTTCTACTCCATGATCATCTTGGAGGTGAAGAACAAGCCCCAGCTCCTATTTTCCACCACCAACCGGCTCCTCCATCCACCCTCCCACGCCTCACCCAATCTCTCCTTGCGCCAGTGCCTCTGCACCTCAGGCACTGGCAGCATCAGCATCCATGGTTACACACTCCACCTCATCAAGTCAGTGAGGAACCTGGGAGTCTTGTTCGACTCAACTGTCTTTTCAACCCCATATCCGTACCATGACCCCCCTCCCCACCCGCAAGATTGTTGGCTTACGGAGCCTGAAACGGGAGAGGACATGAGGTGCAGAGTTCTGGATGATCTGCAGTTTATGGAGGGAAGAGTTGGGGAGCCAACAAAGGGAGTTTCCATAGTCAAGCCTTGAGGTGACGGATGCGTGTATGAGAGCTTCAGCGGCCTGAGGGGTGAAGCAGTGGCGGAGTCAAGCAATGTTGCGGCGGTGGGGGAAGGCAGAGGGGGTCATGGTACGGATATGGGGTTGAAACCCCATCCTCAGAGCATAGAATTGAAAATCCTTGTCCTCACTTTCAAGGCCCTTCACAGCCTTGCCCCCTCCTACATCTCTGACCTGCTGACCTCCCATCAACCTGTCTGCTCCCTTTGCTCAGTGGGCTCTGGCCTACTCCATGTCTCCCGTCCAACCCACCCTGCCATCGGCGGCCGGGCTTTCAGCATCTCTGCCCTCACTCTTTGGAACTCCATGCCACAAACAATTTACCTTGCTCCCTCCCTTGCCTCCTTCAAGGCGTTACTCAAGACCTTTTTGACCGTAGTCATGCCTTGAGGTGCGTAACCCATCTGCCGGACGAGGTGGAGGATGTGAAGCAGGCCAGAGCCTGCTGAGTGATGGAGTGGGCAGGATGGTACGTGATTAAGAGGTTGCAGAGACAAGGGGGAGCAAGGCCATGGAGGGCTTTGAAGGTGAGGACCGGAATCTTGAACTGTGTGATGGGAAACCAGTGGAGTTGGGCAAGGATGGGGGTGATAGGATCGTGAAGCCCAGTGTGGGAGAGGACACGGGCTGCAGAGTTCTGGATGATCTGCAGCCTGTGGAGGGAGGAGTTGGGGAGGCCGACAAGCAATGAGTTTGCATTGTCAAGCCTCGATATAATGAATGCTTGTATGAGAGTTTTGGTGGCTTGTGGTGTGAGACAGTGGCGGAGCCGGGTGACGTTCCGGAGGTGGGGCAAGGCAGAGCAGATCATGGTGCAGATGTGGGGTAGAAAAGATAGTTGAGGGTCAAAAAGACCCCAAGGTTGTGGACTGGCTTAGCAAGGTAGAGTGTGCAATCCTGGATGGTGATGCCTGAGGTGAGGAGGTGCTGACGGGAGCCAATTAGGAGAGTCTCGGTCAATATTTCTGAATTGTGTCCAGGAGAGAGGATCACAAGTGAGGGAGAGGCACACATTGAACAAGTGACATTTGTTGGATGGCAATGACTATTTCTTCGGATATTTTTTTTCAACTAGAGGTTGCGCGAGCGAATCAACAACATCAATTTGCATCGCCGCTGGCTCAGGATTGGGTCCCAGAGCGCTTGACAGTGGCAGAGGACGAACGCAGAGCCGGGGGATGGTGACTAGACACGGACGAAGAGGAAGGTCTTCAGGTGTGACCTAAGGAGGGTGGGGGGGAGCACGGCAGAGGCATAGAGTTCCAGAGTTTCGGGGAGCAGTGGCTAATAACGTGGCCACCAACGGTGGAACGGAGGGTAAGGATCCAGTGGAGAGCTGATACCTGAAGGGCCACAGGGGTAGGCAGACTGGACATGGCTCCCCAACTTGTTCTGAGAACCCAGTGACCAGCCTCTGGCTGTGGCTGAGCAGGATATTGCTATGCTGACTGCCGCCTGCGGGGGGCGCTGCGGCCGCGGTGAAAGCGGCTGGTGGTGGCGGCGCTGTTGCTATGGTGACTCCGGCCAGTGGTTGCTATGGTGACTCCGGCCTGTGGGGGGCGCTCTCCCGGGGGTTGGCAGCTCCCGGGCCGGCGTCTGGGCGTCATGGCGGCGGCGTGGAGGCACTGGGGCCGGGCGGCGCTGTGGAGGAGGCCGGGCCTGGGCCTGGGCCGGAGTCAGGGACTCGCGCTGCGGGCGGCCGGTGTGCAGAGCGGTGACCGGGGCGGGGAGAGCCAGGACCGGGACCAGGACCGGGACCAGCGCAGCGGCTTCGCTGTGGCCTTCGAACTGCACTCGGACCTGCAGAGACAGGGAGAGGGGCCGGCGGCCGGCAGCGAGGTGAGAGGAACTCGGTCACCCCCCCCCCCCCCCACAGCCAGAGCATTCCCCCCCCCCCCCCCCCCCCACAGCCAGAGCATTCACCCCCCCCCACAGCCAGAGCATTCACCCCCCCCCCCACAGCCAGAGCATTCACCCCCCCCCACAGCCAGAGCATTCACCCCCCCCACAGCCAGAGCATTCCCCCCCCCCCCACACAGCCAGAGCATTCACCCCCCCCCCCCACCCCCCCCACACAGCCAGAGCATTCACCCCCCCCCCCCCCCACACAGCCAGAGCATTCACCCCCCCACACAGCCAGAGCATTCACCCCCCCACCCCCCCCCACAGCCAGAGCATTCACTCCCCCCCCCACAGCCAGAGCATTCACCCCCCCCCCACAGCCAGAGCATTCACCCCCCCCCACAGCCAGAGCATTCACCCCCCCCCCCCCCACAAGCCAGAGCATTCACCCCCCCCCCCACAGCCAGAGCATTCACCCCCCCCACAGCCAGAGCATTTCACCCCCCCCCCCACAGCCAGAGCATTCACCCCCCCACAGCCAGAGCATTCACCCCCCCCCCCCACACAGCCAGAGCATTCACCCCCCCCCCACACAGCCAGAGCATTCACCCCCCCCCCCACAGCCAGAGCATTCACCCCCCCCCCCCACAGCCAGAGCATTCACCCCCCCCCCCAGCCATTCACCCCCCCCCCCCCAGCCAGAGCATTCACCCCCCCACAGCCAGAGCATTCACCCCCCCCACACAGCCAGAGCATTCACCCCCCCCCACACAGCCAGAGCATTCAACCCCCCCCACACAGCCAGAGCATTCACCCCCCCCCCACAGCCAGAGCATTCACCCCCCCCCCGCCATTCCCCCCCCCCACAGCCAGAGCATTCCCCCCCCCACAGCCAGAGCATTCACCCCCCACAGCCAGAGCATTCACCCCCCCCCCACAGCCAGAGCATTCACCCCCCCCCCACAGCCAGAGCATTCCCCCCCCCACAGCCAGAGCATTCACCCCCCCCAGCCATTCACCCCCCCCCCAGCCAGAGCATTCCCCCCCCACCCACCCCCAGCCAGAGCATTCACCCCCCCCCCAGCCAGAGCATTCACACACACCCCCCCACCCCCCCCAGCCAGAGCATTCGCACCCCCCCCCCACAGCCAGAGCATTCACATGCCCGTCCCCTCCCCAACCTGTCCATTGATAGCTCCATCGCTTACAATTGTAAAATCTTTGCAAAAAGGAGACAATGTTTTTGTCATGTATGTATTAAAGGGAAAAAAGGTAGGTTTTTTATTGAAACAATACTGTGTACAGTGTTTCTAAACTGAACTTCCCTGTAATAATCACCTGGATTGTGAAAATCTCCTTAGTTATTTGGTCAGTAGTGATGTAGGTTAGGAGGAGAAGCTAGTTCCAGGGTGGCTCCATTTAGTTTAACCAACAGCAACTTAATAATAATAATAATTCTTGCATTTGATATAGCGCTTTTCTCGACGTCTTTAAGCGCTTCACAGAACAGACTGTAAAGTGAATTGACTGTATATTTGTGGGCGAACGCGGCAGCCAATTGCGCACAGCAATGTCCCACAAACAGTCGTGGATTGAAAATGACCAATTTATTATTGTTTTTTGTTTTGGAGGGATTATTATTAGGCTCTGTGTGGAGTAAGGAAACTTACCCAAGGTTTCGCCCTGTCTGGAATTGAACCCAGGTGTCTCGCTTGTAAAGTGAGTG